TAATCCTGACCATTTCTTCCCAGGAGGTGGTGAACGGACGCAACACGTCAGAAAGGTCATTCGTTACTGTATTGCCCGTTATGACATACATGTACATGTATCACGAATTTTTTGTGTGCTGTTATGTTTAAAGATATTTTTCGGTCTACAACATCAGGTGATGTCCAGCCATGCTATCTAGGTATTACATGATAAAAGACTACGGCGACTCAGAGCGTTTGTGGTGGAATTACACTCCTCATATAGACAAACACATTCTCACGTGTTTTATTTGTGGCGCGAGAAAAACGTTCATTCTGGAATCGGCACTAATGACCTCTCAAGTGTTGATATGCTATTACGCATGTAATAATAATTATTATTATTCTGGAATACCTGGTGTCACCATGATTTTGATGTCTTCCTTTTGTGTGAGTGTTTACTAATTCTTTTCTTTTCTGTTGACTTTATGATGTGTTCTCCTCGATTTCCATTCGATATATATACAAACATCCGATTCATCCACGTGATAACTGATTCCTTACATACTGTTGAACAACCTACTCTCCTTATATCTCATTTTGTATTGTCAGCATCAATCTTTATTTCTTCCGATATGGAGATAAATCGACATGAACATATTATGTAAATATTGACACACAAGATATATATATATACACATTTACAATAACAGTAGGCACTGAGGAAAACACGTTTCTTCGTTCAGTTCAGTGATATTGATGATATCGATGATATCGATGATATCGGTGACTCATGCTGAATTTGAAATCATCTGTGTCTTATAAACAAGCAATATACCATCGCGAAACACTACTACCATCGTCAGACGTTTATCCTAAATGTAACGTATGTACAGATAGAAAAAAAAATATTGACACTTTTATCTTACTTAAATGGAAGTCAAAGATATTAGGTATTTTATAGACATTTAAATTACAATCTTACGGCTAAATCGAATATGAGAATAGACAGATTTATAAATAAATATTTTCATGCACATTTATGTTGTGAATAAAATGCATTTTTATTCATATCCAAATTATCAAAGGTATGCTTTCAAAAGCGCATATAAATAAACAACAAAATACAGGTCTAGTAAATAATTGTAGAAGTTAATACAGAAATAAATTACAAACCCAGTTCAGTTAACATATTATTTTTTCGCGGTTCATTCCAAATTAATATGTAAGAAGCAATCTGCTTTTAAAAGCATAACGTAAATAGCACGTTTGCCAACTGATTTAAGTTAAAACGATACGGTGCACGTTTTGTATTGTTCTGAAATACACTTGGCATTGATATTGTCCATAATTGCGATCTGAAAGCAGGCAAATGTCAAAGCTTAAATATAAAATATTTTCCTATCAAACATTACCTTTATACTTCTTAATATTTCGCCTGGCAACGTACCTGAACATTGTATATTATTTTTTATATCTGGATATTTATTTATAAATCTATTCTCACATCATTATAATAATAATCGTGAGAACATAATGATTCTACGAATTTTGACTTTGCCTTTCCTTGAGAGTAGCACGCCACTAAATCTGCTCGAACAAATCATATGTAGGTTTTTTGTTTCAATGATAAAACATTGCCAGCGTTTTCTGCAGGAGTGGATTCAATCAACAATGGAATGCATCAGCTACGTTCCTTTACATCAATATTCTCTTAATTAGGCATACGTTCAGACGTATTCAGATTTTATCAATATTCTCTTAATTAGGCATACGTTCAGACGTATTCAGATTTTATCAATATTCTATGCACCTCTGTTATGCAAGAAGGTTTTGAGTTAATCTAGATGTATCTTACGCCTATAACTATTTTCTTTGTTAAATAACTAGTTAATCATAAATGCAAGATTTGATTCACAAATATAACTTGCATAACGTTACACATACACATATCGATCTACAATATATTGTCAGGAATTAATTTAAAATGGGATGAGGATAGAAAAATAAAGGATAAAAATAAAAGAGACATAAGAGAAAGACGAGAAAGAGAGATTATCAACGAAAGCAATAATTGTAACTCTGATTTGTTGAGAAAATTAGGGATTTTAGTGGTAACTACATGTGTATGTCTATTAACCTGTTCAGTGTGTCTAACTGTACAGGTGATTGGCATTCCTCTCAGGGTTTGATGGGAGACACCGTGCTGGCAGCCGGCGTGTGTGGTACAGGAAACGCTTTCTCATTCGATCAGATGGATTTGTGGTTGGATCCATATTTTATGCCTACTCCTTTGATATCTTCTAGTACTTGTTTCCTGTTGTTGTAAAAAGTTGTAAAATTAAGGTTCTAATATAATACTTGTTTGTTGACACTTAAGTTTCTTTTTCTAGTGTTGACACTGTGGTGTATTTTATTCTAGTGTGTTTACGTTGAGAAGTATGCAAATGTAAGACACCAAGATTTGCTACATGTCCTATGATTATCGAGTGTAATACTTATATCTTCAAGAATGGTTTGAAATTTACTGTGAAGGTAAATATGAATTGTAAATCAAAAAATGTAATTTATGCAATAGTTTGTTCTAAATGTGGTGATTTTTATATCGGTCAAACCGGTAATGAACTCAGGACTAATAAACACGTATGACTGTGCATAGACGACAAACTAAAACTGATTCTTTACGAAATCTTCATGCTAACAAACATATTCATGAATGTGCTGGAGATAAATTTTATGTATTACCTTTGTATCAACTATTTTCATCAGACACTATTTTAAGAGAAACGAAAGAAGACCAACTAATCAAAATATTAAAACCAAGTCTCAACAGGCCACAGTAAAATTTTACGCTAAATCGTCCACCAATCTTGTGTACTTCGTGACGTCATGTTGCTATTGTAGTGTGATGACATGTAATTGTGACGTCACGACGTTGATCTTTTGAATAAACCTGAAGAGCCCTATGAAGGGTGAAAGCAGCTAGTTATTTTAGTCGGTCGTTAATCTTATTTTTTCTATATTTACTTCCTTCACATGTACATTTAATCCCTTTTTTGTTATACATATATATATATTGTGTTGACATTGAGGCTTATTTTGATTTGTATGTTGACGTTGTGGTATTGCCCGTGTGTGATAATGTAGTGTATTCTAACGCTGCGGTATATGTTAGTTTCTTAAAAACTTCTTAGTTTTCTGTCTTGAATTTCACTTAAATTATGGTGAGCTTCATCGTGTTATATTGGTTATGCTATACATAATTGTACATCTGACTTCGCAGTTTCATGAGTACATTGCAGGTAAGGATTTATTACATTTATAAATATCGGATTCTATCAACTTGATAAAACTGAAATCTTTCACGCTGTGAAAATATCATTTTTTATATTTGTCACAGTGTGAAAATATCACTTTTTGGTATTGACCAATCTTAACGGTATCTGCTATTCGCTGTATTCAAAGGCAACGGTTTGTTTGTTCAGATTCAAATGAAGCGACGGTAGAATATGTGGTTGTTATGATACATTTTTGGTGCACACTCTTAAGTATTTACATAAACATACAATTATCAACATTTTTATAAACAATCATACCAGAAAATTGCAGAAAACGTCGGAATTGCGTTGAGTAACCCATAGCCTTGTTGTCAAGCGTGACGTCATTAGAATATGGAGCTAATTATTACGCTTCTGATTCCCGCCCTTTTATAATGCCAAACATTTGCCATGTTTTATTATTCAAAAATGTAATAAATAGAACATTTAATAGTGTCTTCAGTAATAACAAATATATTTCACTCGTTTGGCTAATATTTTGATATTTTTCACGAGTGCGCAAAAAATATTAGCCACACTCATGAAATGTATTTGTTATTATTGAAGACATCATTACATATCCTCTATATATTTCATAAATGTTAGCGCTATAAACGAGTAGACGAGCGCAATTTGAAAGTCAATGAACGTATGTGTGATACTAGTATTACTTTTATCACATGCCTGCAATTGTTCATTTGATATTTTTGCACAGCATTGATCATCATTATATCGTATTTATGTTAAATGCAGCCCGAAATTTTGAATCCAAGGACGTTGGCTCAAAGATGACGTCGTCGGTGGACTATTGACATCACGATTGCGCTAAAATGTTCGGAACCATTTACTGTCAATTTAAACAATGGATAACAATTGATGAGTTTTGGTCAAAAAAGGGTTCTGGCTACAGCATCAATACCACATCTTGTGTTAGGACAATGTTTGATACGGAAACATTCACTGCATGACCTATAAATACGGAAACTTGCACTACCTGACCCATATATACGGAAACATGCACTGCATGACCTGAAAACAGGCTGTATCACTATGGTAATATTCATCAGGTATGTTATAAATTGCATAATGACTGTATTATTCTTGAGACATTTCGTATTAAAACGTGCGATGCTTGTATTATTTTTGTTATATATAGTATTTTAACCTTTAGGCTGCCAAATATTTGACTCAGCCAATTTGAAGTATCCACAAGTGTTTTGCCAACTGTGACGTCCAGCCAATTATGACGTCAAAGTATTGTTGACGCTATGTTAATCCCGACGTCGCGAAAATCGCATGATTGTTGTTGCGCAAACAAACATTACCTTTATAACGTCAGCAATTTTACGGCGTTATAATTATTTGAGTTTATTTCCGTGCAGTTTTGATTCATGAGTATAATATGTAAACGGAACATCGTATTTTTTTTATTCTTTAGAGTGCCAAGCATTTGGATGTTACGTTCACGACGTAATCTTCTAGCAAACATAATGTGACGCATTCGCAATAATGACATCATGAACCACGATGTATTAAATAGATACTCTTGGTACATAATGTATTTTGACAAGTTACCCAACCATATTGATCTCCTGTAATGGTTAGAGAGTTATATAAACTAGTGTACATGTACTAACATTCTAGCATAAACAGTGACAAAAATACCGATAAATAAATATATAAAAAAAAAAAGATAAACTAAACAGAATTTAAACGTGCCATAAGTAAAACAATATTTCATAAATTGCTCAGCATAAATTTATTTCCAGATTGTCTTGCTAAAGTTCTGCGCATGCGTTGTGCCTTTCGAGGCAGTGCCTATGGAGGCCTCTTTTACATATGGAGCAAATTGTTCTGCTCCTGTGGCGCACACCTCTGCCATGCCGCACATTGGATGAACACACGCAACAATCTTTTTCTTTTCCACGCGGTAGTACTTCTAGGTTCTGGACTCTTCGACGTGCGCGCCTTGGCATGCCCGGGACATTGCATCCCGATAAGGACTCTACGACCTGCATGATGAAATTAAGTCGAGTCAATACGGGGCGATCAGTTGTGTTCTCTCTGTAGAGTATGTATGCATTTTGCATAATTTTGTGGAAAATGTGTAGAAGCACTTTTTTCCAGACTTTCTTGGTTTTGCGCTGGACACCATATGCACTCAATAACCCATCATTCATGTCAATGGCACCCATATTATGGTTATACGCATTGACAATTCTAGGACGCCCACATCCAAGGTCCTGCGCTGGCAGGAGCGTAGATAAGAGCCGCACCGGCTTTTTGCCCTCTACATCACGAGCTGCCAGACACAGGAAGTTGCCCTGTCTCATGTATACAGCGGCCCCTGGCTGCGGATCCGCATTCCGTATAGTCAGGGGCATCGGTCTGTTTTTCCGTAGCGTACCTTCAATAAATGAAATATAAATATTCTTAATATAGCAGAAAAGAAAAACCTTAAGTTGATTTTGTCAAACCTTACTTGCAAAGGAAATACTAAAAAGTGAGTGTCAACTCGGAGATAAAGCTCTCATTTGTTGTCTGCTTGCCGATAACGTAACACTATCAATCTTTTTTTATGCTTGTAAATCTCAAAGAAGCTCCGAAAAAAACAAAAAAAAGAAACTGTCAGCAAACACGTGGTAACCACGGCCAAGCAAGGACGTCTCGCTCAGTAGGTTGTATACAACGTTACTGCTCTGTAGCTCCCCCCCGCGGAGTTGGGTCGAATTATCGGCCTCTGTATATGGACATTTGAAGAACGTACCCTGACGCTGACTCACAGAGTATCCAAAACTTAATTCCGTACTTCGCGGCCTTGGAGGGAATGTACTGGCGCATCACACAACGGCCTTTTGTGCTCACCAAGGATTCATCAACATACAGTGCCCTCCTCGGTATGATGAAGCGCAGGAACTGTCTGTTGACGAAGTTAAGTAGAGGACGGAATCTGGCGGCAGGGTCGTAGGCAGGATGCTTAATTAAAAAAAAAACAAAAAAAAACAGTAAATCTCTCTGAATATCTTTTTTTTGATTTAGAATTTCCATCAGGTGAGGCCATCTGGGTCGAAATTATTTTTAATAACTCCTCGTATCTTCTATGTACAGTATATAGACCAAATGACTGTGTAAATCCATTTTGGGAACAATTTGAAAACTCCATTGAAAATGCACTTGATGAAAACCCACATGTCATTATAGTTGGTGACATAAACGTTGACCTACTGGTTGAGACTCGTCATAAACTGAACGACATTATCCGCACGTATCTGTTTTCTAATGTAATAAACCAACCAACTCGGGTAGGCCAAACACGTGCTTCGCTCCTTGACCCCGTGCTNCCGCTTATTTTTCTCTTGTATATCAACGATATAACTGATAACCTTGTCAGCCCTTCCCGTCTTTTTGCTGATGATACTTCCCTATCCGTCTCTTCTCCTTCCGCAATTGAACTAGAAACTACTACTAACCGAGATCTTGAAAAAAATTATAACTGGGCAGAAAATTGGCTTGTTAAATTTAATCCTAATAAAACTGAAGCACTACTAATTTCAAATACCAATGCTGAGCTTGATGTCAATCTCATTTTTAATAATGTTAATATTGATTTTATTGAACATCATAAACATCTAGGCATTTTCCTAGATGCTAACTGTAAATGGACTCACCATATTGATAACATTTGTAAAACTGTTACGAAACAAATAGGAATTCTCCGCAAGTTAAAATATACTTTAAATCGCAAGACATTAAACAGAATTTATCTTACTTTTATACTCCCTCTGCTTGAATACTGTTGCGAAGTTTGGGACGGTTGTACAACTGCCGATGCAAATAAACTTGAAAAACTCCAGTTAGAAGCGGCGCGTATTGTCACCGGCCTGCCATCTTTTGCTAGTAGAGCGTCTCTTTACTTCGAAACTGGTTGGGAAGTCTTGTCTCAACGTCGCACCCGCCGCAAACTTCAACTTTTCTACAAAATTCACAACAATATGACTCCCTCTTACCTAACTGACCTTCTCCCGCCACTAGTAGCTACTTTAACTCCTTATAATTTGAGAAACTCTGAGAACTATTCCATTCCTAATTTCCGCTTACAATCTTCACTCAACTCGTTCATACCTTCTACTTTAAGACTATGGAATGAGCTTGACACTAATATTAAAACTGCACATTCTTTTAAGAGCTTCACAAACTGCCTCAAAAAACAAAATGAAACATTTAAAGTGCCTGTTTTTTATTTAGCCGGTGACCGTAAGTTAAATATTTTACTAACCAAACTCCGTCATAAATGCAGCCCTTTAAATGATGATCTCTTTAATGTTAACCTAATCAACTCTCCTATTTGTGCATGTGGATATCCTAATGAAAATGCTCATCATTTCTTTTTTACATGCAGTATATATACTGATCAAAGAGTTGAAATGTTTAGAAATCTTCATGAATACTTACCTCTAAGCTTAGAGAAATTATTGTATGGCCATGAAGATTATTCGAGTGACGAAAATAAAAATGTATTTATATATGTCCAACAGTATGTATCGAGTACTCGCAGGTTTTAAATTTGGTCACGTTCTTCTGTCTCCTCTCCAACAGTCCTCATTATCTTTCATATTCATTTCTTAGCTTGTGTCCGTATTACATGGCATAACGTACACTTGTGTGTTCCTTATTATTTTAGTAATCCTCTGTAATGTTTAACTTTCTTTTAAGTGCACGAGAGCGTGAATGCAAGAAGTGTGCGTGTGCTGGAATGTATGTAATATAGGCATGTGATGGGCCATTCAGTTACAGCCAGTGCGGTAGAAACGAATTTTCGAGAAAGGATGGAATGAAAAGGAGAAAGACACAAAGCACGGGACGTGACGAACTGTTGAATAGTTGAAAGTATGGAATAGTGCCAGGATATCACTGCGCTGACTGTGCTGGATGGTTCCATTTTCATGACCAAATTTCAAAATATACCATAATTTGTAAATAAAAGTAAGAATGAATGTGTGCATTATATGTTGAATATTGAGATGTACATTATAATTTATAAACTGCAATGAATAAGTAACATTCTCTCTCTCTCTCTCTCTCTCTCTCTCTCTCTCTCTCTCTCNCTAAAACAACTAATGCTGGTGTACCCCAGGGCTCTGTCTTAGGTCCGCTTCTTTTTCTCTTGTATATCAACGATATAACTGATAACCTTGTCAGCCCTTCCCGTCTTTTTGCTGATGATACTTCCCTATCCGTCTCTTCTCCTTCCGCAATTGAACTAGAAACTACTACTAACCGAGATCTTGAAAAAATTCATAACTGGGCAGAAAATTGGCTTGTTAAATTTAATCCTAATAAAACTGAAGCGCTACTAATTTCAAATACCAATGCTGAGCTTGATGTCAATCTCATTTTTAATAATGTTAATATTGATTTTATCGAACATCATAAACATCTAGGCATTTTCCTAGATGCTAACTGTAAATGGACTCACCATATTGATAACATTTGTAAAACTGTTACGAAACAAATAGGAATTCTCCGCAAGTTAAAATATACTTTAAATCGCAAGACATTAAACAGAATTTATCTTACTTTTATACTCCCTCTGCTTGAATACTGTTGCGAAGTTTGGGACGGTTGTACAACTGCCGATGCAAATAAACTTGAAAAACTCCAGTTAGAAGCGGCGCGTATTGTCACCGGCCTGCCATCTTTTGCTAGTAGAGCGTCTCTTTACTTCGAAACTGGTTGGGAAGTCTTGTCTCAACGTCGCACCCGCCGCAAACTTCAACTTTTCTACAAAATTCACAACAATATGACTCCCTCTTACCTAACTGACCTTCTCCCGCCACTAGTAGCTACTTTAACTCCTTATAATTTGAGAAACTCTGAGAACTATTCCATTCCTAATTTCCGCTTACAATCTTCACTCAACTCGTTCATACCTTCTACTTTAAGACTATGGAATGAGCTTGACACTAATATTAAAACTGCACATTCTTTTAAGAGCTTCACAAACTGCCTCAAAAAACAAAATGAAACATTTAAAGTGCCTGTTTTTTATTTAGCCGGTGACCGTAAGTTAAATATTTTACTAACCAAACTCCGTCATAAATGCAGCCCTTTAAATGATGATCTCTTTAATGTTAACCTAATCAACTCTCCAATTTGTACATGTGGATATCCTAATGAAAATGCTCATCATTTCTTTTTTACATGCAGTATATATACTGATCAAAGATTTGAAATGTTTAGAAATCTTCATGAATACTTACCTCTAAGCTTAGAGAAATTATTGTATGGCCATGAAGATTATTCGAGTGACGAAAATAAAAATGTATTTATATATGTCCAACAGTATGTATCGAGTACTCGCAGGTTTTAAATTTGGTCACGTTCTTCTGTCTCCTCTCCAACAGTCCTCATTATCTTTCATATTCATTTCTTAGCTTGTGTCCGTATTACATGGCATAACGTACACTTGTGTGTTCCTTATTATTTTAGTAATCCTCTGTAATGTTTAACTTTCTTTTAAGTGCACGAGAGCGTGAATGCAAGAAGTGTGCGTGTGCTGGAATGTATGTAATATAGGCATGTGATGGGCCATTCAGTTACAGCCAGTGCGGTAGAAACGAATTTTCGAGAAAGGATGGAATGAAAAGGAGAAAGACACAAAGCACGGGACGTGACGAACTGTTGAATAGTTGAAAGTATGGAATAGTGCCAGGATATCACTGCGCTGACTGTGCTGGATGGTTCCATTTTCATGACCAAATTTCAAAATATACCATAATTTGTAAATAAAAGTAAGAATGAATGTGTGCATTATATGTTAAATATTGAGATGTACATTATAATTTATAAACTGCAATGAATAAGTAACACTCTCTCTCTCTCTCTCTCTCTCCCAATAATAGATAAATGTAGTGATTTAAACTATGAAATCCATCTTATGATGTGTATATACAATTATTTATCTTATAAGGAAAGGGCGTTAATAATGTTCATGTAACTTGTGCCCAATCCTCTTGCATTTTTTGGCAATAAAATATGTTTAAACTAAAATATCTTTTACTCGAGAGACGTTGTTTTCGTTAATATTGACAACAACAGGATGTATTTCTACAGCGACGTGACGTTACGTCATTTCATCTAGCACTTTATCGGTAATATTTGTATATTTATCTGTTGCTTATAATTCTTACCGCGATGAATGGCCAAATACATTTTTTTCGTCAAAATTTAAAATTGTGTCCATGTGAATGACGTCAAAGTATAACATGTATGCTAACTTGTTAGATGAAAAGTGATATCTCAATGACAGTGACACGGATAATAATATAATCAATTTAATTATCATAAACTTGTCCGTGATATGGGATGTTTTGCGTGTGTGATACTGCTTATTGACTGTGCATAGTCGATATCGCGGACTGACCATGTCCGACCGGTATGCGCCATATCCGCCAGGCATGCGCCTACCTTATCCGTTACGCGCCTTATCGACCCGACATGCGCTATATTTACCCGGCACGCGTCTTATCGACCCGACATGCGCCATATCCGTTAAACTTCCAGCCCAATACTTTTCAGGAATATCATTAGACAGTGGGTGAAACAAACTAGTAGTGTACACACTGCGCATCCATCTGTTTTGTTACGCTGTTCATTGCATTTTATTTTAGAGTATAGAATGTGATGATATTAAAAATTGAATATAAATCTGCTGTGCGTTCTAGAAATGAAGAAACAAGTTTTATCAAGATATATCAATTAATTTTGTATGCCGAGATGGTATGATAGTGTGACTATTTTGTTCAAAGAGGAGCGCATGAAGGGCATTTTATTCTAGTTATACTTTACATGTACAGTAAGCGCATGACTTCTTCAATTAAGAGAGTAGGGTATACATGTGTTATAAGTACTGTGCTGCACTGAAAGCGCACACATACGCACGCGGACCTACTCACATTGAATAAACATTATTTGTATAAAACAGATTACAATGTGTACCAATGCATAGTCTATAATTTACCTAGACGACACTGTTCTAACCTCTCTTCCAACCATGCGCCGGAAATCTGCGATATGTAGGAATTTCAAAATATTTTGAAATCTGTTTCTAGCCATCGTGTGTGGAAACCAAGATGAACGTTGACTTGGTAGTCTTGAATTCCAGTATTCGGGAATTGAAGGCTTTCTTACAATTGACATGTTGTAAAATATTGAAAGAAATGCTTTCAATTCCGACAAGATAATTTTTTTCCAAGAACGCGCCCTTGCATTTTGTCCCAAATTGTTCTGGTTTGTCTGCAGATGGTGGTGTGCATACCTAAAATGTCAAAGATACTTCACTAACTTGTCTAACACCTAACATCCAGGGAAGACAACATCATGCAATACTTTTCAATAAAACAGATATACCGAAAGGTTTTTCAGGGGTCATACACATTTATCACGTAATAACGAAACTATTGATAAATGATAAAATGTAAAATATAAAATTAAAAGAATATTTTAAACAAGAAAGGCTTTCAGTCATTTTCAAGACCTGTGCGACCACTGTTTTTAAAACAGAATTGGGTACCTGAACTAAAATTATTTCATGATTTATGAAGAATGAATAGTTTATGGAAACTTTTACCTGTTGGTGTGCCGAATTATTTCCTTCATCAGTGTCTCGGGAAAAAGAATCATGAAATATGAAAATGGCCGAGAATCCCTGGGTGGCATATGAAGAGGCCTATGAGCTTCGTAAAAGCCAGGACCCCTGTCGGGTTCAGGTGGAAACATCCGCATCCATGGAACGGCCATTAATACAGGTGCTTTCCAAACAATAATGACGTCACTTTGACTAAAGATGATGTCAAAATTACGTACCTTTTACATCATCATTTTTCGCGTTGATAGACGTCATGTAACCCAACGTCATAATTTTGTATGGCAATCAAGATGAGGTGGCATATGCTATAGAAACATTCAACAAAATAAACAACAAACTCTATTTAAATAGAATCGGCCCCATCGGCCCCCTGGCACTCTGAGACCTTTGTAATCGGCCCCATCGGCCCCCTGGCACTCTGAGACCGATGTAATCGGCCCCATCGGCCCCCTGGCACTCTGAGACCGATGTAATCGGCCCCATCGGCCCCCTGACACTGAAAAGGTTAATGTGTTGTACTTGCGTTATGGCGTGCACATTTTGTGTTATACATTAGTATACACAGTGTATGTGTTATGTAAGGCTTTAGCTGAGATCGACACATAGACTTAGTTTTCCTGAGTTGATAAAACCATTATATCGACTAACGCTGAAGACTGTATTTTTTAAAGTATACAACCTTGTTTGCGGCTAGGATGTGCAATCGATTGCAATCGTTATTTTATTTTAAGAATCACCCAGTTTATTAAGCTCAATATTAACTCCCACCTAGCGATTTTAGTTGATATATTTTCTAAATAAAAAGTTATTTCATCTTAATGGAGGAATAAAATACGGAAAAAAAATCAGAAAAATGTAATATATAATCTATACTACTTCCTTGACATTTGCATTTGACTCAGTTTATATACATTTATATTGATAAAGTCGCAGGAAAGTCACGAACTATTTTATATGCACTTTCCACTTTATTTATAGCTATATATGTACAGTTGACGACCATCTCACCGTGCTAACTCCAGGTTTGTACCGTCTGCATAATATTTGCTACTTACTCTATGGTAACATACCTACAGTAATTAATACAGCGGTATTGTGTAGTATCTTACATCTGCTAGAATATATTACTGATATATCCTTATCTTGTCTCCATCGCCGTTCATGGTTTTTTTCAATTGATTGAACACTTGCGGTATGGATCTGTATTGAGTATATTCAATCTCAATATCAACTACGTCATCACCGACAGACTTTGCATTTATAAATATTCACCAATCAACAGCATGTAAGTTAACGCTTCGCTTGAAAAATATAAAATCACTAATTCAAATCCTTTGGTTCAGATGTTACTTAATGTACTAAACTTAAAACCACAACATGGTGATAATCCTATCTGTTGATCTTAATTCACGTCACTAGCAATTAGAAGAAATGTAAGGCAGTTTTAACGAGTTCTGTATACCGGATGCTATGGTGCTGACAGTCCAGCGGTACTAACTCTATAACAGAATTAGGTAAGGACATAAAAAAAAAATTATTAACACTTATCTGCTGTTCCTAAATGAATCGTAGTCTGATACCCATTGGTATAACGCGAGATTGTACCTACCATTTTGCAAAGGATCTACATGATCTGTTTAATTAATAAACTGACACTGAATAAGCTGGAAAATAACGACCATAAAAGTAACAGAAAATAAAGGGTTTGTGGTTGGTTTTGATATGGAAGTAGTTTGGTAGAAAAAGTATACAGTCTGCATTATTTTAAGTTACTGTTTGTACATGACAATAACCTTTGATATTGTTTTAGTCCGATACATTCGTATATCCATTATCGTTAAGAAGTGCTACTTCATATATCGTCACTGACTGCAATATATGATCAACATTTCAATTTCTGTCTGGATCAATTCCTTTACAGATCATTTTCTGTCGGTATCAATTCCTTTCCAGATCATTTTCTGTTTGGATCAATTCCTTTCCATATCATTTTCTTTCTAGGTCAATTCTTTTCCAGATCATTTTCTGTCTGGATCAATTCCTTTCCATATCATTTTCTGTCTAGGTCAATTATTTTCAAGATCATTTTCTGTCTAGGTCAATTATTTTCCAGATCATTTTCTGTCTGGATCTATTCTTTTCCATACCATTTTCTGTCTAGATCTATTCTTTTCCATACCATTTTCTGTCTAGATCTATTCCTTTCGGCCACTCATCACTACAACAGAGCAACACCACACATTAAAACAGAATCGGAGGTTCACAACACCTAGCACTGTATATTTCTAGAAATAAGAACGAAATAAAACTCGCTTTCCATTTCGGATGATTAGTTGCAGCTGAACATATATCATTGGGTAGTAGACTCACGTAGATCGTGTTAGTATTTACTGACCAATTTAGGAACCCTTCTATTTAATAGGGGAGGGGGGGGAGGGGGGATTTTGTATCGTTAGTTAATTGTCAATGCATTACTTAAACATAGATACATAAATATGAACCTTGTTAACTCGGTGTTTTCGATACTAGGTTCATGTTGATTTGTTTCAACATAAATTCATACAGGATTAGTTCAACATTTATTTTTCTATTGCATTTTATTGAATTAACTAGTGATACAGCACGTTGTCTGGGCATGAACTAAGATGTGTCGTATTGTGCAAATCGAAAACAAGGTGTTGTATGTTCCTTTCTGTAGTTGCCGGAACTCCATTTTGACTGGAGCACATTTGTTGTTATCCAGTAACTCAATGTTTTGTCAAACTGAATGGGTCCCAACACTATAGCGCCATTACACGTTATGTATTGTCATTATCCCGTCTTCAACGTCGTTGTGTCCGTCATTATTAATTGGTCTTGATTTTAGTAAAATAAAATAAACAGGATAAAATTTAGAAATGTGATAACACCGACATAACACACATATCGTTATCTGACGTCACATGGAACAGTAGTTTAGTGTACGGACAAATACATCTACTGTGTTACATGTAACGTTAGCTACAGACACGTGGTACTGCTGGTGCGGTATACGTATAAATGTTAGCTTGAACAAATGTTTGTATAGCTTGAAAAATATTTTGTATCCTTTCAGTATTCGGAGATGTGTCGAATCATCAATACCCATAACAATTATCTGGGTAAACTGCATACAAAACTATTAATGTACCATATCTAATGCTAAGATTAAAACAATTTGACAATAACACAAACTCACCCTTACAAACTTGGTCAGCAGGCAGTTTTTGTATCAAGTAAAATATATTCTTTAACTGTGATAGCGAGAAATGTGTACAATGTTAACTTGCTCCGTAATGTATGACCATGTTTCTGCCACAATACACAATGTAGATCGTCTTCAGGTCATATAACGAAAGGTGTGTTTTAAGGTATTTGATAGAAGAAATACGACAGACATCTTATAAGCTATATAAAATATCTCATTAACTTTAAAGACATTCAACAATCAAATTTAAACTCACCAAAATCATATAGAATCCACAGTGTTCAATAAACACTGTCCAACCATTCAAACGCATGAAAACGATAAGGGGGACACAAGCTTGATCACAACACATTGAAAGTAAGAATTTTAAGACGCACACTCCTAATATGAGAGTGGTGTAGGATGTACCTTTGGGGTTTTTTCTAATTATTTTTGCAGTGATAATTGTGATGATGTTTCATATTTCAAGATATTTGAATTATTATAATCATGCTATTGTAACATCGAAATCAATAACAGTCATTGTTTTTCTCTAACTTTATTATTTATCTACTTGATAGTACAAGGTCGCGTTATACAGTCAGTGAAAAGAACGTCAGTGACTGGTGTAAGATGGCTTCTAACATGATCAGTGAAGACGTTTTATAATTCTCCTCGTGTGACTGGTGTAGGATGGCTCCTAACATGATCAGTGAAGACGTTTTATAATTCTCCTCGTGTGACTGGTGTAGGGTGGCTTCTAACATGATCAGTGAAGACATTTTATAATTCTCCTCGTGTGACTGGTGTAGGTGGGCTCCTAACATGATCAGTGAAGACGTTTCAAATTCTCCTCGTGTGACTGGTGCATACATTGTCAGTCTCAAGTTATTTGTGATGACTTACACCCAATAAAACTGACTTTGCCTAAATATTCGTGTGAAGGATGAAAACATTGGTTAGCTTTAACATGACTTATTGTCCGATTCCCCCTCCAATTGTTGAAGACTCTACCCGACTCCCCATATACACAGTGAAGACTTCCCTAGATCATGGAAACTTTATCCTACTCCCCGTGTGACTGCACAAGGTTTTACCAACTCCTCGATGTTGATGTATGGGGCGTATTGATCGTTGACGGACTGACTTCTACAGATAACCAACGCTACTCCGTAAAAAGGGTGTATATCTTCTTCAGGATTTTTCTATCAGTCCGTCCTGACAAGAGATTTCGTCCGAGGGGAATGAATCAAATTTTATGCTTTTATTATTAAATGGATAGATTTTGTCTGAGTGTGGTCTGAGTGTCTGATCACGAGACACGACCGTGCCGTCTTGTTTGAGATGACAGGCGTATGACGTTTTTATATACGCAAGAAATCTTGGATGAAATATTGCCCAATGTCTTACAATAGCACTACTTTAGCTGTTATCGGATGTTTGTCAGAACGATCACGTCATACTCACTATCGCCCTGGCGTGGTCAGCGATAGCGCGCGCTGACGGACGGGCCAAGGCTCGGACCGACCCATTGGCGGCTCCTGGCGGTCACGAATAAAAACTGCATAAAGTATGGAATGGCAGCGATAACTACTTATTTGAATGACAACGCCGGTCGTTTCATTATTCCCATCTTTGTGGACACACTTCAGGGCTTCCACATCGACAGACAGTGATATTGTTGACGTCCTGGGGAGGACGTGACGGACGTAACGAGATATACCTGGTTACAGACAGTCAGATACCACTCAATTGTGAGGAGTTGCTAGACAACGCACTACGGAGTAAGTAATGGGGAGACACGTGCACAGTCCAAACAATGCTATCTTTATTGAGCTTATCGTTACTACGGCGCATCACACGGCGCATGTTGTCAGAACCTACAACAACGAGTGTAGAAAGAAATGGCGTGCTCCCACAAAACGGTGTCGTGTTCCGCCACAAATATTGCAATTGAAATATTAAATAAATCTTAATTAGAATTTAAACAGTTAGAGGAATATCACGGACTTGTTAATATAAAATATGCCTCGTTGTTTGAAAATAACAGCAAAGCAATACAAATAGCCATTGACACTTGGTTGAGATAACGTAAAGTCATTGACAGTAGTGTGCGTTTTCGATAGGTCAATGACAGAGACGGAAACAGATTCAGGTTATTTGAGCGAGGTATGATATTACGTCACGCTACTGACAGCGATATAAGCTGACGAAAGATAATAAAAATGGGTTTTCGTTAGATAGTTGATTCATTTGTTAAGTTATAGCTAAAACAAATGTTCGTTAACAGAATCAAACCTTTAAATCGCTCCAATATGTAACATACAATGTTCGTTTTCACAAAGTATTTGATTATTCAATTGACAGAAATGATGTGAAGCTGTCCTCAATGCTCAAGTCGCTGTGCACGATGGTGTACGGACTACTAGCCTCTACAGGTCTCTACTACCAACTACCAGCCACTACTATCAGACTATATTCAGTACATTGGCCAGCTAACCTGTTCTTGGTATGCAGTAAGTATATATGCAGGACAATATATATCATTACATAGGGTATCGCCTTCAAACAATGCACACGTCACCAGTATACTAATATGGAATAATGTTAACGGAGGCGAAGGCTAGCTTAATCTTATTGACTGGTGCACGCTGGTCGACATTAGCTTTGCGAAATTCGGAATCGAATGGAAATGGACACTCCTCAAACGGATGAAGACACTTCCTAGTTTGTCGGGATACGTGTGGAAACATGGCCCATATGTTTAAAATAGCAAGGTGATAATAAGATCCACCTTTCAATATTTGTTCCAACTTTGTATCACAATTCCACGTCTTACAAAGTGTCGGATCCTCCGAACGTACAGCCTCCTTGAGTGATACATTAGAGCAGGTCTCCTTATCTGGTTAAATTCCGTTTTACCGGTGCTCGAGTTATTGGTGTAGATTTGTCGTTTACGAGAATATTACCCTAAAGAGTGATACTGTAGCCTGTATCGGCCATAAGAAGTGCTCCATCTACTGAGATACACGTGTTTTACAGGGTACTAATTGCACGTGTTGTTATCGCAGTCACGCGTCATTAACAACAGCAGCACAGAAATAATATAGATAGCTCCCTGTGATAACGAATACATTACCACGGACCTGCATAGCCACAACTAATGAAGATAATGGGGAATACATCAAACCGGAGGTTATACACATGATGGTATTATCTGTGTAATCTTGATGAAATACGGTGATTATTAAGACGTTTCAATTGATCACGAGGTCAAACAATGTCGGGTTATGGTAAAACATATAGATTCTGTTTTGGTATCATGTAATGTAGAATTCGCAATAAAGGAATGAAATGGAAGAAACATATCTGAAGATAATTAATGGTGATTTATCAAACCTGGAAGTTTCGAGGTTACTGCTGACACATCTAGAAAATAGCATTATAGGTTATGCATTGTTATTTGTTCAGGAATGTGTCACACGTTCCCATTACAGCATTCGGCCTGTAACGACAACCCTACTCGGGCAGAAAGAGGGAAACTCTTGATGCCAAAGTGATAATTATACGTTTTACTATAATAATCTTTGTGGTATTTCAGCTATAATTGTACATACAAAAATATAAAAAAAAAAAAAAAAAAAAAAAAATTTCCCCANCATTTTTTTGTTATAACAGTTTGTTCATGAAAAAAAATGAGAATCTGATTACTATAAAATTCTATTTAATGACCTTTGTACATGTTTTGTTAGAATAATTCAGACTAAATAAGAGGATTCAGTCGGGCGTGATCAAAGATAAACTGTGTCGCAGATCGTTGATGGAAGATGCGAGTGTTTCCGGACACGCTTAACCTTCCGGAACGTCTGAGCCTTTATTCATGAAACCAATCTCATACTCAAACATGAGTTTTGTGCTCAAACCATCTGTGATGTAACTCGCTTACATCTTGCGACACTGTCAAGACATTAAAAACTGGTTAGGCTTTGAATCTCCAAATCAATCCAAATCGTAGACAAAATGTGAAATTGTATTAATTTATCACCGGAACAACAAAAAAGAGCTTTGGTACAGAATCTGAAATTGAGAATGAGAGCGGTTTCATGACTACTTTACCTGGTCTTGTCATCTTTATGTTGGTGTGGATCAACGCCCCTGTGCATTGACAATGTGTTTTCTTTTTCTTTCTTTTCCCATTTGTGTTGACACTTTGGTATTCTACTATTATATTTGTATCTGGTTACCTAAACATGCTAGTTTATGTTTGTGAATAGCGCAACAAAATGGCTGTCTCCGTTCGTTTGATTAAGCCCTCTATATTTTGGCTTTACAACCTGTTTAAATGAAAGTTTTCTGAGTTATGTGATGCAAGGTATTCATTTCTTATGAGCTTTTATGAAACTCGTCTCAAAGTTTTAATTTTTGCTCGCCAAGGCTCCCAAAAAAATAAAAAATAAAATAAGACTCGTTTCATAAAATCTCATATGAAATGAAAACTCATTTAAGATCCTATATGTGTCGAACCAAATTGAGAGAATTGATAGATATCTACAATTTACAGATGTATGTAATGATACATGTTTAACTAGTGATAAAAATTATTGACAGAAAGACCTACTATTTTGCTTTTTTGATCAGGTGTTACATGTTTGTATATATCACAACATAAATTGCCGCATCTCCCTGTCAATCACTTTCCCATTTGTTAAACTTACTTGATACAAGTTGATTTAACAAATAATATCAGACTTGGCACACACAACGTTGTGTCTGGAGAATTGGTATTAAGATGTACATACCATTTATCTGCTTGGCTACAGCATGGTTAACTGACTAGAACTCCATATAACAAGGCACCAATCAACAGACTTATCGGTGTTTTCTCCCATCAATATGCATAAAAGATCCGATACAATTGTGACACATAATGCATTGATTACATATTAGGTGTTCATGATAAAGATCGAGGGTTGGAGGAACAATAATTACATCAGGATGGCTATATTTACATTTGTGTACATGATAAAGAGTAAGGCCTGGTTTTCAGGTAATGGCACCCTATATATGGAAATGAGTTACATCGAATGTTTGTACTATCTAACAGAAGACAACTTTATTTCATGTTATTGGTAGTCAGGTATTCATTACTAGCCTATAACACAACATCAGTTAGTAAATGTTATCCATGTGGTTTAACAATTGAAACGTCAGCAGTTATACTCAGTTTCAAATAATTTTACGAAGAATGCATAACAATATTCGTTCTCTATAATGTTAATACTTAGTGGTTTAGAGAGTAACATTATACACAGATACACATATTTTATTCTGACTGTATGGCTTAAAAATCCCCTGCTGTCAGCTCAATACGATTTGAACAGATTCTGACAAGAGCATGGACATACAATGTATTACCAAAGTGGTTATTTGAATAGCATTAATGATTAATAGTTGAGGTGAAGAGTAAATGTATATATTCCCAATTTGAGTAATTACATGTGTTCACAACATGTGTATGGTAATCAATTATCCGACAGTATCTTCATTGCATATCATTTCTTTTTCTTAAATTGTTTGGAAAGTTAAGTGGAATATTGTAATAATAGGTTTGTATAAGGTAATAACATGTACATTGTATATGAGCAATGCACTAATACATGTTACAATTTTATGTCCAGTTTGAATTCACGTTAAAAGCAATGTACATCGTCATATTAACGTTACTGTTGTAGTAATTACATCAAGTTTTCCAATACATGTTAACCTCACTGTTGTAGTAATTATATCAAGTTTTCGAATTACATGTTAACGTAACTGTTGTAGTAATTACATCTAGTTTTCCAATTACAACACAACATCACTGTTGTAGAAATTTCATCGTTTTCCAATTATAACGTTACTGTTGTAGTAATTAAATCAAGTTTTCCAATTACATGTTAACGGTACTGTTGTAATATTTGCATCAAGTTTTCCAATTACATGTTAACGTTACTGTTGTAGTAATTACATCAAGTTTTCCAATTACATGTTAACGTTACTGTTGTAGTAATTACATCAAGTTTTCCAATTACATGTAAATGTTAACGTTACTGATCATATATATCGTGTTATAGTGAAATATTTATAAATGCGAAACACATCAACCGTAACGTCGCAGCCTTTATTTTTGGTTTAAACACATGTGTTACCTAACACGGACAAAGGAGTAGGTACAGCCAGTTATCTACGCCTTCTCCGTACATGCATACATACAACTACATAAATACAATAGGCTGCAGCTGCGGGATATGTGGTTTATTCAAATATATTTTCCGGACACTGTTCATTTACAAAAAGGAAAAACGCCAAGATTATGAGTATCTTAACTTGAATATATTGTAATGTTTCAGGAACAGGCTCGGTTTAAAGAAGCTTCATCTTAAATCGCATTGTGACATGTAAGGAAGGGTCCGGAAACAAAAGTAGCTTTATATGATAATACAACGCAATATCTGGGTAGAATCTCCGAGGCATTATTATTAATTAATCCTATGTAATGACACTTATATTAAATCATATATATACATATCTGTATAATTATATATCTATATAATGACACTCTGTATAATTATATATATATAATGACACTCTGTATAATTATATATATATATTGACATCACAATGTATGAATATATCTATATAATGACACTATGCAGGCTTATATCTATATAATGACACTACTAGGTATAATTATATATATATAATAACATTTTGTACAACTATATCTATATAATGACACTATGTATGATTATATATATATATATTGACACTATGTATAATTATATATAAATAATGACACTCTGTATAATTATATATATATATAACACTTTGTACAACTATATATATATAATGACACTATGTAGGCTTATATCTTTATAATGACACTACTAGATATAATTATATATATATAATGACATCACAATGTATAAATATATATATATAATGACACTCTGTATAATTATATATATATAATAACACTTTGTACAACTATATCTATATAATAACACTTTGTACAACTATATCTATATAATGACACTTTGTACAACTATATCTATATAATGACACTCTGTATAATTATATATATATATAATGACACTATGTATAATTATATATCTATAATGACACTTTGTATAATTATATATATATATTGACACTCTGTATAATTATATCTACATAATGACACTATGTATACTTATATCTTTATAATGACATCACAGTGTATAATTGTATATATATACTGTCACTACACTGTACCATTATATAATTTTACGGACACTTTTACATATAATATTATCTATATACTGACACTTCTACATATAATTAAATTTTGTATACAGACACTAATATGTATAATTGTAGCTATATACTGAGTCTACAATGTTTAATGATATATTTTTACTGACACTTCTATGTATAATTATATCTGTATAACGACACTAGTATGTTGTATCATACCAATTCCTTTATTCAACGCAAT